GTACATCTTAAAAACCCGTTTAATAAAGTCTACTGGGCGAAAGTTACCCTTTAAAAAAAAAAAAAAAAAAAAAAAATTATTATATAGTAAATTTTATGACAAGATTGCAGGTTAGCAAAAAAAAAAAAAAATTATAATAGTATATAATCTTAATACAATATTCTGTACTTTATTACAAACTTAAAGGCTATTATTGCTTAAGACGAATTTGTTAAATTTTGATAGAAATGTTTAGCTGTAGTATATATCATGCTGCTCGAGTGAAAATGTACTTATGTTTTCAATTGATTAATAAACTACGATTCGATCTAGTCATTATTACAAATATTATATAGAAATTTATCCATTGAGATTAGTTAGTAAATGTCAAATATTGCATAATTCTCTAGCTCCTTGGGAAAAAAAAACCAATAACACTTGTCACGTGGCACATATTAGCAGAAGCGATCTATTTAAAGTACAAATTATAAATTATTATCAATAATCTATTTTAATAGAACAATTTTAATTTCGTTAATCAATGAGACGTGTTGCTAGGCATCGTGTGTCATATGTAATTACACATAATAAAGATGAACATGGTCATCTCTTGGGAATAAATTCTTTGGCCTTAGACACTACGACTTTAAATCCAGAAACCCAAAAATCAGAAGGAATACTTTACTCCGCTGGACGTGATGGTGTTATTAATTCCTGGAATCTACACTTACCACTTAGAGAAAAATCCTCGAAGCATAAGGGCACACAAGTCAATAGAGATAATGATGCCTTGGAAAAAATTAGCGACCTCGGAAGTAGTTGGGAGATTGATGACGAAATTGATCTCTTCTCGGTATGTCGGCGGTCCACGGCGAATTATGGCTCTTATTTTCGACAATATTTAAACTTATTTTTACTTTAATAATCAGCAACCTCCACGTAAATCAACCTTTTACCAATCCTTTCAAGGTCATACAGACTGGGTCAACGATATAATACTCTGTCATAACAACGAAACATGTATGTCCGGCTTAAATCCAATTGATTGTCGCGCAGTTGTGATTAAACCTATATATGGGATTTTTATAGTAATTTCCGCCTCCTCGGATCGAACATTAAAGCTTTGGCACCCTCAAAGATCCAACAGTCCAAGCACCATCGGTTATCACACCGATTACATCAAAACCTTATCATACGCACGTGGTCCGGGCTGGTTGGCAAGTGGAGGTTTTGATCGCAGGATTGTAATATGGGACATAAATGAATTCAGACCTTCATCTGGGATCTCTTCGATAAACATGGTCGACCAAGATCACTTAATAATAGGTATCACCGATTATATGTATATTTATGTGCGCATTCATTGTCATATTTCTTTCTTTGGATTTTATGTTTCTTGATATTTGTTGTTACAATTGGTTTAAGGAACGATATCAGAAGCATCGCCTAAGTCATCGATATACGCACTTGCGTGCGATCCATTAGGAACAGTTTTAGTTTCCGGATCACCTGAAAAAGTAAAAAAAAATAAAAATAAAGAAAAAGAAGAAATTATTAATTATTAAAAAATGGATTTCTTCATTTACCACCTTTCATGAACTTAGGCGTTTTACCATTATTTCGTAGATCGTTCATGTGTGGGATCCTCGTTCGACAAAACGGATCACAAGCTTTACCGGACACACAGACAACATAAGAGCCGTTTTGGTTAGTGATGATGGTGAATTGGTGAGTTTAAAGATAATGAATTGAATCAGTTGACACGATTGAGTGAAAATGGGATTTGTACTTCATTTCACAATTAATTTGGCTCATTCGTTGGGAACAACATGTGCGAATTTTCAATATATATATATATATATATATATATATATATATATTTTTTTTTTCAAAATCACAGATTCTTTCTGGTTCATCAGACACCACCATTAAATTGTGGTCTCTGAAAGCTCAGCGCTGTATCAATACATTTACTATTCATTCCGACTCTGTTTGGTCTTTGTATTCTGATCACCCTAGGCTGGAGACATTCTACGCCGGCAGCAAAGATGGACTTGTTACGAAAACCGATTATAGTGGATGTGCGGAAATTCGGGATGGGGAATGCGCTGCTGTTTGTAAAGAAGATGCCGGCGTTGTAAAGGTGAGTATAAGTGAAGGAGCTTGCTGTAAAAATCTTTGAGATTCTTAACCTCATCACAATAAATCTCAGCTTGTCGCGCTAGACGACAAATACATATGGACAGCAACATTCGATTCCAGCATCAAAAGATGGGTACATGTCTGTTTCGCTATGCATATCGGAATCCACCATCTCGGTAATGAATAATTTTTCTTGAATTCCTGTTAATATAGAAAGACGTGTCTTTGCGTCGTGAGTGCCGAGTTCGCACTTCCTCCACCTCTCCTATCTCGCCTCCACCTTCACCAATACCTTCATCTGCTTTGATAAAGCTCACCTCCACTGGTGTAGCAATGGATTCTGAGATCGCCACCTTACATTCTGTCATAATGGATGATATGGAAAATTTGGATAACGAAGATTCAGTTCCGGTCAGAAGTGTACCAGACTACGTGTTGGAAGGTTGTTGATTACCTGGGTGTAACAATTAAATTATCCACTATTCTCTGTCGATCGATCTAACTAATTTCTTAAAATTTTCAAGGCCAACATGGATTGATAAAACATTGCATATTAAACAATCGAAGGCATATCCTTACCGTTGATAGTTCGGGAGAGGTCGCTTTGTGGGATATAATTCGGGTATATACAGCATTATATGAATATTGCATGTTATACCAGTAATTTTCTATGTTTACAGGTACTATTATTGCAAGCTCACTTAGAAATTTTCATGTATTTCGTAATTATCTAGTGTGTACGCATTGAAACATATGGCAAAAGAGATATCGAAGAGGTTGCATCCGAGATTAATACCATTGAATCGATTCCGAATTGGTGCTCAGTAGATACTCGTATTGGGGTATATGAAGTCACCTTTCTTATTTTTTCACGTATCCTTTAGCGTAAAAGGTGTAAAAATGATTTTTATTTCAAAGGCTTTAACAGTTCACCTCGATGAAAACCGTTGTTTTGACGCGGAAATGTATGCGGATGAAGATAAATCGATCGACAATGCGAATCTACGTGAGGACCAAAGAAGTATGGAGGAGAACAACGTTCGATCATTCTTTCTGATACTGTAATTTATTTTTAACAAAGATTTTTTTTTTGATTTTCAGTTAACCTTGGCAAATGGGTATTACGCAACTTGTTTGCGACCTTTACGAAAGCCGAGATTCAAGAGTATGAAGAGTTGCAACACATCTTGAGGCAGTATGGCGAACAAAACAAGCCGGAAAGCAGAATATCACCCCAGCATATTTCATTTCCACCTGCGACTTTACATTCAGGACAGTTGAATAATACGGACTCTACCTCTAGCTCAATTTATCAAAAAACAATTGATACACTCACATCATCATCGTCACCACAATCACCGCTTACCAAGTCTCCAACAACGATGACTGCTCTTCCCCCTACCACACCTCAGGCCGCTTTTACCACTGGTCCTTTCACTGCACCGGCGACAACAGGAACATCGCAGGCAGATTATTTCTCCGGTTCTCATCATAATTCTCCCACAAGCCCTACTGGAGCTTCTGGTAGTCTTACACCTCCGGGTACTGCAGGCTCAGAAACGTTAGGAGGGACATTATCGACGGCCGAAGTAATAAAACCTCCACCTCCGGCTTTAGTAAATCAACCCTCCGGTGGGAATGCTACATCAAACTCTTTTATGGGACTTATCAAAGGCTTTAGTCGTAAAGCATCTAGATCAAACACAGATACAAAACTAGAAGGAAGCACCGAAAGTTATACCGGAACTAAGTCTGGTGATTCAAAGTTAACGGTTTCCACTCAGCCTATTGAGGAAGACACACCTAATTCCAATTTGCGAAAGGATGATGATGCAACGGTAATAATAAGGATCGCTCCGATATTATTTTGGGTGGATAAAATAATGCCATGTAATTGATCTAATGAAGTTGATTGTCATTTTGCTAAGGTCAATTCGGCTGGGGAATCCACATCCCAGGTCAACATCCAATCACAACAAACAGATAATTCAGGTTTTTCAACTCAGCCCATTCGCCAATTTCATCACCTTATACAACCTCCGTTCTACCCTCACCCAACAAATGATACACCTGAAATTCAAATACCGCCACATACAACGGTAATAATTTCTGAAGAAACACCTGAGGCTTCAGCATATGTTGACCTATACCGCGGAACAGTCGGATCATTGGGTAGAGATGTGGAGATCATCGATAAAAACGCTCCGAATTGGCTCATTGAATTTTTAATCAAGGTATGAGAGATTGGTACCCACTCGAATTCTAAAGATTTGGCTTAACATGATTATTATTATTAAATAGAATAAGGTTTCACAGAAAGAGCAGACCAAGATAGGCTTCATCTTGAAACCACATGACGGTTCCGATCTTAATGATCTTCCAAATGGGTAATTCCTTTTATTTACTTATGTATATGTACAGTCAAAAACTGTCTATTTGCGTAAAGTGTAAATGCATACACTATGTAATTTTTATCTATTTGCATAAGCCAAGCTTGATTAAATTTGGTCCCAAGTGTAAATATGACCCCGACAGTATGCAAATAGATGGGTTTGATTATATACATATATATATATATGTATGTATGTATGTATAGAAATATAATGATGTTCATACCGATGTTCTGCTGTTCATCAAGTAATAGTTCTCGATTAACGGCCAATCGTATGTTGCGTGCACGAAAGATTCTGGTGTATGTGGTAGAAAAACTGGAGCTCGATCATCCCGAAAACAGGGAGACCACGGCTGATAGGAATTTATCGGAGATTGAAGAAAAGGACAATAGAAATAATGGGAACCAAATAAAAAGCGTCAAAAAACCCGAAATGTGGCTGGAATTAGTATGCCAAGATCAGGTTAGTAGACTCATCTAGTAATTGATTGTTACTTTTTAAAATGATCAATTTACCTTACTTCATGATACCGTGGTGTGATGCATCAGGTTTTACCTCCCACGATGACATTGGCAACCATAAAATCGCACGTTTGGAAAGTTGGAGGTGACATAATAATGACATATAGGTATTTACATTAAAAGTTGTTTGAACTTCATTATTGATTTTATGCTGACACCACCGTGTCTTTTGATTCTATCATGTGTAAACATGAAATCAATAGATTAAGGATGAAAAGCGTTTAATTGGTTAAAAATACCAATCACTTTGTAATTTTTGGATAAGTTAAATAATGTTAAATTTTTTTAAAAAAAAATGAGTATACGTCCGTGACTTCATTACATCAACTTTTTTTTCTGATCATTATACTAATTTGTGAAATTTATTTATCAAGGCACATTAGGTGCATGCCTGAAATTAGTTATTTATTTATTTATTTTTTTTTTTTACAAAAAAAAAAAATCTATTCGGACACTGATAAGGACGATCAAATTTAATGATCAACTAAAAATTTGGTTAAATATGATATATTGAGAAAACAATGGTCAACTTTATGGAATCGCGTATTGCACTACAGTCCTCACATTAAGACAATAAATGAAACTCCCAATTTCTTTTAGATTGTTTGTTCTTCAAAACTTCTTAGAAACACATTATTTTCCCCACCTTCCATGACACGGGTGATAGGCGTGTAATCTGGACGATGGTGCTTCTCAATGTAATCCTGTACATACAATATTTCGTGAGGTAAATTTAAAGATCAAGATTTCAACTCCTATAAAGTATAAGAATCCTATCTACCTGTGCATATTGCAAAGAATATTTCTTTTCGACAGCAGTCGATTTAAGCCCAATCCACACGAAGACTAAATTATTAATAAATTTAAAATTGGTTTAGGAATTGTCATATTCATGATGCAATTATAATAAATACACACTTGTATGACCAGCATCAAAGATGAAAACATCGTTGGTATCGAAGCGCGATTTGTCGATAGGACCAGATTCTTCTTTGAAGCTTAGGCTGCCCGAAGAGTCACTGACCCTAAAAAGAGATTTGGCGAATGGCGTTAAAGTGAAAGAAAATGAGTATATTATATTAATGGAAATCCACCTACCTAAATAGTTTCTTTTGAACTTTCATCATATCGGCTCCAGTATCCATTGAGGCAGACTTGATTGGACCACTGCTTCCGAGTGCCTCCCAGAATTTTGGCATTTCCCTGTCTCCTTCATCTTATCCACAACGAATCAACATTCTATCTGGTTAGATGACCATGATTACGTGAAAAATAAAAGGTCAAAGGTCAACTCACCAACAACAATGATATCAGCTAGTCCATTCCTTTCGCTTTTTACTGCCTGAACGAATTCTGCAGCTTTGCCTTTTTCAACACCCTGAGAATCCTTTCCGTTTAATTGATAAAGCGTATTCCCGACATCCAAAATAAATACATCTCCAGAATTCAACGAGGTATAATCTTTAGGAACTTCTCGGATTACCACAGTGCGCTCAATTAATTTGATTTTGAGCAAACGATGACGATATTCGTGTGGTTTGTGATGATTGAACCCGGTAGAGACGCCACCTTCTTCAACATGAAAATGCGGGAAATAAGAAAGGAATAATTGTGACTCGTGGTCTTGAACCTACAATTGACGGGCAGGAAGATTATTATTATACACGACGATATTAGCAAATGAGAAATTCATGAATACCTTACCTCACGATGTTGAATCGGGGATGTTCCCAAGACTAGATTATATGAAAACGAATTGACAAAAAAAAATAATGAAAACATAAACCTGATATACCGAGGGGGGTAGCTAGAATGTATGGTAACTAGAGAATATCGTACAATCATCTAACTCAACTGTCTTGTATGCCGCGGTTCCTACTTCGTCCTTTCATAATCATGGATTTTGGGGTTAAGATACTCAATACATCATTTCGGAAGTTTCCCTCGTATACATTGTATATTCTTTTCTCAACTAATTCTAAATTTTGATACCTGACTACTTTCAAGTCCAAGCCAGAAATGGATGTCATGGGCCAAAGCTTCACTGTCTTTACTTTTTTTATAAGACTGTTATTTGATAAAAACATGAAATCAATTATTTTTTTATATGATTATCAAAGTTCTCGTGTATTTAGTACGTGCTTACATGAAGAACAATGTAGCTGTCCCCTTTTTTTTTTTAAAAAAAAAAATTTAAATAAAATAAAATACTAATATTGTTGTTGTTTTTTCCGAATCATCCCCTCACCTGAATAAAATTTTCCGTATATATTTTTTGGCCATGGCTTCACCTCAAACTTCTCGATACGCCATATCCAGAGGCCACTACAAGGAACGATTGACCCAACGATACATACCATTTTTACAAATCACATGATCCGAATTATAAATATACACTCACGCTTCCTTTCCGACTTTTGTGGCAGGATTAGCCCATGCTTGCTCTTTAGCCCCGGCCTGATAATGGGTTTTCTTTTCAATTTCGGAGCCAAAATTTGAAAGGTTGGTAGCAGAAATATCTAATCGACACGTGCACATATAATATGTCAGTATCGACAACAATATATAAAGATTTCATCAAATCACTTACCCCACTTTGCTTGCCTCGGCATTATTGAATAATTGCGCAATTGGGAAGAATGATTTTTAATTTATCTCCAGCGAGAAAGTTTAAAACCAGAAATCTCAGAAATCTCAGATCTGCATTTTTTGTGTAGCTAGAATTGATGAATATTTTTAGATTTGCTGTATGTAATCCTGTATCATTAAGGAAAACGACGTCAAGATTCGGGTGCTACAAAACGAACGCTCCCGTTTTTGTTCTTTAACTACGTGATTGTCAAGATTAATGAAATATATTTCAGTAAAGCCGTTTTATGAGGTGTATCATGCTTTTATATTGGTTAGCCTTTTCATTTTTTTTAAAAAAAAATGCTGTTATAACAATTTAAACAATCCAATAAGCTTTATCAGTCTACACCGCCTTGGCAATGTCTCTAAATATTATTTAAGCTTTCTTGGGAAAGAGATATTGTTGTTATATAAACATTTTTATTAATATTTTTATTAAATAATTTAAGAGATGTTACTACTTTTTTTCTCTTGTTTACAATTTCTTTGATTAAGAAAAGTCAAATAACATCTTTATAACTAATAAAAAGAAAATTTATAAAAGAAAAATAATTAGTTATAATGTATTTAAAAAATTTATTTTTAATTTACAATTTTGTCATGATAGTTTATCTTTAAGAAATAAAATAAAATCTATAATAAATTACAGATTTTTATAAAGTAACTAATTTGTTTTCCTACAAAAATACTTTTAAATCAAATTTTAGAAACAATATTATATTTCTCTAATATGATTGAATTAATTAATATCTATCAAAATTATTGTCAATAGTTTATTATTATTGATTGACTTGAAAATCAATAAATTGCTAAGTTAAAAAGAAAAAGGAATTAACAATTAAAAAAAGAGAACAATTTAAGATTGATTAAAATATTTATTTAATTAAATCTTAGAAAAAATTATCTTTATTATTATTATTATTTTTTTTTTTTAACCTGCAATTATGCCACAATGGCATGTCTTTATTGAAAAATTGAAAATGAATTTACAATATTTTATAGACTTTCACAAAGTGACTAA